CGCCGGAGCACCCCGCGCCCCCTCCCAGTCTGTCCCCGTTACGAGCCCCGCAGCAGCAGGCGAGACCCCCGGGGCTGTGCTGGGGCCCCCCATCCCCAGGCCCCCCCATCCTCTTCGCACCTGCCCCAGCCCTGAGGGCGGGGGTTCAGGCAGGGGGTCCCCCCTTCCCCCAGCCCCTCCATGCAGTGGGGTCAACAACCACCCCCCAACCCCTGCAGTTAAGGGGACCCCAACCTCCGCCCTCGCACCTCCCCGGGGGGGCCGTGGCACCCACGGTGGGCAGCAGGGTCACCCTAGGGGCCCAGCCAGGGAGAGGAAGAGGAGGGGAGGCCGAAGCCGGCAGGCAGCTCCCTCTGTGCCTTCAGCTCGGTTTCACCGATGCCACAGCGGGGGGAGATGAAACTCAGATTTTTCTCCCATTCTGTCCCCAAAAAGGCTGCGGGGCGAAAAATGGGGTTTGCAGAGGCCACGTGGATGCAAAAGGGGGGCGACTGTCACCACAGCCAAGCGAGCCGGGGCCCGGAGCCCCTGAAACTCCAAGTGGTGCCTCTCCCAGACAGGACCAACACCCTGGCTTTTTGTCCCCTCCTGCCCCCAGTCCCTCCCTTGGGCTCTGGAAAGGGGGGGGTGCAGGCCCCAGGGACCCCCCCTGGGGACAGCTGCTGCTGCCCATGCCGGGCCCCAGAGCAGCGCTGTGGTGAACTGGGCTGAGCTGGTGCCCCATTATCACACATCCCACCACGGCTCTGTATCTCTGGCCAGTTCCTGCCCTTGTTCCTCAGGATGTTGGTCACCTACAAGCAGCCAAAACAGAGCCCTGATGGCCACGGGCACTGGCCCTCTGAGCCCGGCGCAGCCATCGCCACCTTCCCGGTGCTGCCTCGCTCGCCGACACCGAAGGGGATGGCAGCTGCCAGACCCTGGGGGCTTTTTTCTTCCACCATGTTGGTCTTCCCCTCACCACAGTCACCCTCAACCCATGAGCCTCCCGAGCACGAGCTGGGAGGACTCCAGCCCCCCAAATCCGCCATCGCCCTCCCCATGGCCGGGGGGCCGCTGCTGTGGGGTGGCAGCTACAGAGCGGAGTCCGGAAAGCTCCAGGGAGCCGAGTCCCAGGGGAAAGAGCCTCAAGGGTGCCGTGGTTCGGGGGGATCCCGGGGTTTAGGGTCCCCAGCCTTTGGGACAACCTCTGCCCAGTCACAGCGCTGGCTCCAGAGCTTTATTGGGGGGAGGGGACCGGGAAGGGCGGCGTCCCCTAGGACAGGAGGGCGCTTCTCAAGAGCGTTTTCCTGTCCGGCGTGAGCTTCTTGGGAAAGCAGATGTTGAAATAGATGAGGAGGTCACCCTTGCGCCGGGGGTCCCGCAGCAGCGGCATCCCCTCTCCCGGCACCACTTTGCAGTACTTGGGGCTGCCAAAGGAAAGGAAGGGGCTGAGAGGAGGCGTGGGGTGATCCTGGACACGGGTGGGGGCGGCCAAGGCACCGAGCCCCGCTTCTGAGGGGGCTTCTTAGGGCAACTTTGCTCCTCCAGCTTCAGCCGGGGGGCTGTCCCTGCTCTTTGCCCCCCGTGGTCCCTGCAGGCTGTGCTGCCCAGCCCTCATCTCACTCCCGTCCTCCACTCCCGCCACACCATGCCCTCTGCCTGCCTCCACTGCCAGCAAGACAGCCCCCAACCAGAAAAGGTGGGAATTCTCCTCCTCCAGGAGCTGAACCTGCTGGAAAAGCTTCTGAAGCGCTCCAGTAACTCAGGGGTGCTGGGGAAGCTCTTGCCGAGGAGGAACAGGCCAAGCCTGGGGTTCCTCAGGGTCCTCCCAAGTGCCCGTTCACCTCCTTGGCCACCAAGCTCGGTGGAAAAGCCCCATCCGACCACCTGAGCCCACCAGCCCGTTGCCCCCCGGCACTTACTCCACGATGTCGTTGATGGGGATGTTCAGCAGCCTCCCGTCCAGCGTCCTCACCTCCACCGTGCAGCCGATCAGGGCCTGCGAGGGAGGGAGCGGGACCCGGAGCTACGCTGGCAGTCGCAGAGGGCAAGGGGAAGGTGGGCTCCGGCCCCTCGCTGGGCTCCTCACCTTTCCCAGGGGGATGGTGGCGACGTAAATGAGGTTGTCGCCGGCTCTTTTAAACCTTGGGTGGATTTTCTCTTGGACAACAAAGGTGATGTCAGTTGGAATGATATTTGGGCCCTAAAAATCAAGGGGAAAAAGAAAAAATATACCTGGAAATGGGAACACAGATGATTTCACGCAGGGAAAGGCAACACCAATGCCTGCCCCGTTGTCACTGCTTTGAGCTGGCTACGGAGAAGGGAAAGGTTTTTTCTTCCTTTAAGGAAAAAAACGAGTCTTTGATAAAAATCTCCTGCTAAGCCAAGAGAAATCAGACTGGGTTTTGCGAGGGTGATGCCAGGCAGAAAAAACACCCCTTTCAATCATTTTTCTTTATCTTTCCTACGGAAAATCCAGGCAGGAAGGGCTCCTTCGAGCGTTTCCAAGCACAACAACGCTGAATCGCTTCATTAGCCGCACTGTCCCCGGCAGCGGGAAACCTGCAGAGTGCGGAGTCGGCCTCAAGGAAACCCGGGCCAGAAGTTCAGGCCATGGCCGTTACCTGGTCTCCTTCCTTCTCAAAGGTGATCCTGGTGCCCTGCTTCCACCCCGGCTGCACGTCAATCGTTAGGATCTTGTCTCTGATGGTGCTCGTTTGCCCGTCTTCATTCATCACCTGGGGGGGGGG